CAGCCGACGACTTCAACAAAACATCATCTCAGGATCAGCCCCGTGAACCTCATGCAGGAAAGATATGATGAGCAGACCAAGTATACAGCTAAAGGCAAAGACAAGCCGAAATCCCAATACAACCTTGAATGATGTCGATTTTGTTACAGCCAAGAGATACGCCGGGGACGCCTCCATTAAACAATATACATGTGGATTAATCCTAGGTAGCCAAACCAGAGCCCCAGTCCCAGCCAGCACCCGCGCAGGCTCACGCAGGCTCACGCAGGCAGCCCGCGCTTCTCGCTCTCGGTGAAGAAGATGACCATGCGCCACAGCTTCTTAACCATGTCCTCGGCGTCCTCGTCCAGCGCCTCGCTGAGCGTCTCCACCAGCTCGGCCGGCTTTTGGTGCTTGCGCAGGTGCTCCTCGACCACGTCCACCAGGAACTGCTCCTGCACCCCCAGGTATTCCACCACCTTCTTCTCCACAAACGGCCGCAGCTTCTCGCGGATCGCCGACTCCTCCAGGTAGTCCCATTTCACGTCCCACGCCCACAGGCCATCCCGGTCCACGGGGATCTCGTGGGCCAGCGCCCGGACGGCGTTCTGGATGTCCTCCTCCGTCATAGCCTTGGTGTCGGTGATGGGCTCGAACTTGATGGGCACGAGCTGCCGCTTGGTGGTCTGGTCGTGCTCCTCGTCGTCCAGCAGGCCCTCCACCTCGGCCACCGTCCGCCGCGCCCCAGCCGTGCGCTGCGCCGCTTTCTGAGCTGCCGCGCCAAAAGAGATAGTAACGCGCTGTGGTGCAGCGGGGGCCACCGGTTGCCTCTCCATCTCCTCGGCCTGTCGCTCCAGGAAGGAATCGGCCATGTCCTTAGCATGCTCCATCTCGGCCTGGGCCCGGCGGTGCTCATCCTCCTCGCCGCGCCGGTCCATCTCGTCCCGTGCCGCCTCCGCCGCCCGGAACGCTGTCCGCTCGCGGATCCATTGGCCGTGGTCGCGGTAGTAGAGGTGGCCCTTACGCGATGCCTCACGGTCGTCGTCCCAGCTCTTGTCCCTTTCGAGCTGCTCGTCTCTCCTCCGGCCGAAACCCTCCGTCTCCGACTTTTCGCGCTCTTGCTCTCGATCCAGGGCCGCTGCGCGCTGGCGTTCCCGGTTAACCCACTTGCGCTCCGCTTCTAAGTAGATCTTGTCGTCTTCTGCGCGTTGTTTCGCAAGCTCCCTGCCGTAGAGTTCGTCGTCGTCCGCGTCCGTGTCATCGTCGTCCCGGAACTGACCATTTGTGGTGCCGCCGTTGACAAAGTCTACTCCCCGATTCTGCCCTCGAGGGCCGGATGGCGCGTTAGGCACGCCGCGAGGCCCCAGCGGAACCATATTGGAGTTGTTCGGCGGGGGTGATTGATCCAACCTTGACTTGCGAGGCGCGCCGTTTCGTTGCCGCTCCATCTCCTCGAACTCCTCCTCCTTTCGGAGGCGCTCGAGATCTCGCTGATTGCTCCGGTCCCGAAACGCTGCGATCTCGGCAGCCACTGTCGCCCGCATTTCGGCGGGGATATCTGCGAGTTCGTCTTCGGGGGCCAAGGGAATGTTAATCACCTCGACGTCGCCCATGCCGTTCGACCCGTTGGCCATAGTTGTGTCGCCATCACCATCGCGGCCGCCGGCCACGCGGGGGTAGAACAAGTCCCGGACCAGCTGCCTCAGCGAAGACCTCGCCTCGCTTAATCGTGCGTCGACTGCCGGGTCGTCTGCCCTGCTCTCTTTCCAAGATTCCAGGTACTTAATCGTGCTCGGATCGACCTCAACCTTCAGCATTCCCTTCTCGATACCTTCAAACTTGTCGTCTTCGTCGGCGGGCGGGTTATCGGTCGGGGATTGTTCTTCAGGGGCACCTCGATGTCTTTGAGTAACTCGACTGCAGCAGCTAGCGATTCGGGGTCTTCGTACTGTGCGAATCCAAACAGAGCCCCCTTGTGCTCCGACAAATGTGACTGCCCCGAGTCCCACCGCCGCACCCTGCCGACCGTGTTCAGCAGCCTCTGTATGCCCGCCTCGCCGCCGACACCGTCGGGGATCTTGTGCACGAATATCGTTCGGAGCCGCTCTTCTGTCGTGGGCGGTACCAGCGACTGCATGTTCTCCCTCATTTGGGCGCGGGACTGGTCCATTCCACGCTCCGAGCCCAGCCCCGGCCGGCCAGACGTAGGGGTATATGAGTCCTTGCGATCATTCGTGAGTGAGGAACCGGGCTTCGCCGGTGGCATGCTGGCGCCGAGACGGATCACGGGGGCGTTGAAGTTGATGTTGGGGCAGGTTCGGCGGCGCTTGGAAGGACGCAGGAAGGCCGCTTGGTCGATTAGCTTGCGTCGCGTTATTGGACTGCTGGACACCAGGAGGTGGCGCCATCCCAGGGGCAGAGGACATGCCTGGTGGAGGACCTGGACAACTGAGTTAGCGGGCGAACGAACGGGTCGTGGGGTCGTGGGTTATGGGCATACCTAAGCCAGGGGGCGGTGCCATTCCCGGAGCATGCGACGCGCCTGGGTAGGATGGATAAGCCGGCGGCGCTCCAAAAGGAGGGGCTAGAACAGTGTGTTAGCGCAACCAAAAACCAACAGGACCATAACGAGGCTGTCGTAGGGAAGAGGCAAGCAATGCACGAGGCTGGGTCACCAACCTCCGTAGGGATTGTACGCCATGGCGGCGAGTCTAGTATGAAATACACGGGCGTCTGATAAGGTATTTCGATGTTTAGGAGGGGGATGCGGCGTTGTATTAACCCGGTCGGTTTGTTGTGGGATTGGGTATTGGGACAGATGCAAATGTTGAAGGCGATGTCGAATGGCTGGCCGCGATCGCGACGAACAAAAGTTCGCCAGGATTGGATAGCCGGTGTGCACGGTCCACTGGATGCAAGCAGGATCAAAAAAAGTCTCCATCCCACCCATCCCACCGTGCCATCTCATTGGGAACCTGGAAACGGGCAAAATCGGAGCGGACCCATGATTCACCGACCAATCCCGATCCGCCAAGCTGCAGAAGTGGCCCTTGCGACTTGAACTTTAGCGCAGCCGGGGCGCGACTTTAGAAAATCGAAAGTCGAATCGTCGTTAGGAGCTCACGGTGTTCATGAAGTGGAAAACGGCACATCCATGATCCATTGAGTATGTTTCAAACTAACTCCGGGTATATTCACATTAGTCTCTGCAACAATACTAACCACAATACATTTCCAGAATCATGGAGTTCCGCCAGGTCGTCTCAGTCTGCCGTTCGGCAGCGGCAGCAACGAGGCCCTCTCTCGCGAGCACACGGCCCTCCCCCTCGAGCATCCTCCTCCAGCAGCGCCACTTCACCAACAACCCCAAGCAACAGTCCGAAGCGGCCGCCGTAGCCGAGCAGCAACTCCAGGACCCCCGCTACGAACGAACCGCCCGGCTGCAGCATTCGCTCTCGCTCTCACAGAACCGCGGCGCCCCCATGCCCCCAAGGCCGCCCTTCCGCGAAAGCAACATGCTCGACAGCCAAAAGCGGTCCTCCCCGGTCTGGGCCATCCCGCAAAACACCAAGAACAACACCGGCGTCAGCCGCAGCCCCCTCATCCGCAGCACGATGCTCACGGGGCGAGCCCCCACCGGAACCAGCAACAGCAACAGCAGCAGTAGCAACAGCAACCTCTACAACCTGCCCAGCCAAATCACCAACGACATGGAGCAAGCACTCGGCACAGGACCCAGCACGGGGGCCGGGACGGGGATGATGAGCACGTGGAACGAGGACGCGTTCCTGGCCAAGAACTACGACGTGTCGGAGCCCGAGCTGCGGCTGCGGCCGTCGACGGGCCGCACGGTGGACATCAAGGGCAGCGTGGACCTGGCGCGCGGCTTCCGCCTGCTGCAGCGGTCCGTGGCGCAGAACCGCGTCAAGACGGACGTGCGCCTCTCCAAGTTCTACGAGCGGCCCGCGCTCAAGCGCAAGCGCCAGAAG